GTCGGCGGGCGGCGGAGCGGCGCCGGGCAGCGGGGTGCGGATGACGGGCGCCTGCGGGACGCCCTTGTACTTGGTGCCGCGGAGGACGGCGGCGTTGGCGCGGTCGAGCTGCACGGCGCAATGGCGCTCCACGGCCTCCAGCGCCGTGTCGCTGAGCAGGCGGCGGAAGCGGGCGTTGCGGGCGGCCAGGCGGAGGGCCGCCGGGTGGAAAACCACGTCGTAGACCAGGCGGCGGCGGCCGCCGCGGCCTAACTCTTCGCGGCCCGGCGCCAGGCTGTAGGGTAGGGTCCAGCGGTGGCCGCCGGGCTCGGCGCGGGCCTGCGGCGGGCCGACCTGCGGGTTGCTGCAGACGTTGAGGTAGCAGCGGCGGGAGCCGGCCTGGCTGGTGCGCAGCACGTAGCCCGCCGCGGGGTGGACGAAGCGCACCTCCACGCCGCGTTCCCTCTCCAGGGCCGCCACCTCTTCCTCGTACAACCGACGTTGCTCCGGGTCGGCCAGCTCCGCCGCGTAGTCGGCGAAGAGCTCCTGGAACTGCTTGTCGTGGAAGGCCCGGCGGAGCCGCTCCGCCTCCTCGGCGCTCAGCTCCAGCTCTTCCAGCCGCCCCGCGCCCGCCATGGCTCCGGCCCGGCCCGACCGCTTCTCGTTGCTGTGGAGATGCCAAACAAGATGGCGGCTGCGGCCCGGCCGGGCTCGTTGCTATGGTGACAGTAAACAAGATGGCGCCGCCTGACCCTTCCGGCCAGTTACTATGGATACGGGATAAGCCAAACAACACGGCGGGCTCTTTCCCTGGTGGTCTTCCTCAGAGCCGAGTCCTCTCCACTTCAGAGCCCTCTCCACTTCAGAGCCCTCCATCCTCGCTCAGCCTTTCCCCTTCAGCGGCGGCTCTCAGCCCTCGCCCCTGTCTGCCACAGGAGTGGCTCACACTCCCCCTCCTCTCCCGCAGCTCTGAGCTAGCAGTGCCACCCCCTCCTGGCCCAGGGTCAGCAGTGCTGGCGCAGTCTCTCCTGCGGTTTGGGTTTAGATCCACAAGTTCAGCTCGCACCTCTTGTACCCGGCTTCCATCCACACCCCACCGCTGTCCTCTCCCTGCTTCTGCCCCCTGAGCCACATTCGTGTCGATGCCAGCACAGCAGGAAGGGGTCTGTGAAACAAAACAGCTGGTGCTGAGGGTCCCCTGTCTGCTCTACACCTGATTTGGGCAATTTGGGGTGGCACCAGTCTGCTCCCCTGGTCTCGATGCCCACAAGCAGCCAGAGCAGGTTTTTTCTTAGTTTCATCGAAAAGGGACCGAGTTCACGTGCCGAGAGGCTGCTCTCCGCTGTAAGCCAAACCAACTGCTGATGCAGAAGTCAGCGCTGCCAGGACCTGACTCTTTCCCACCTTCCCGATTGCTCCTTCAGCAAGATTTCCTGCCCCTGGCCTCCTGCAGAAATTTCAAAGGACCATGTCCTTGTTCCTCTTACCTCTCCTCGCCCTGCCTGCGTAACAGTATCCGCAAACAGATTATATCCTGCCATCAGTAAAGAACAGCTCATAATCTTCTCTAGACCTTTCCTGTCCAAAGAAAAACCCTAGCCCACATTTCCAGTATCTCCTGTAGATAACTAGCTATCACTTCAACTCAGCACGGTGAAAGACAAAGTTCTCCCTATCTTTAACTTCTTTTTTTAAAAGATAGGTATTTCCTGTTTGATATACATGCATTTGGTTTCTCCAGTTGCCTTCCTTTATTATGCTTTGCCAATTCATCTTCACTGTGACTCTAAATTTTATCTAAACTAACACCAGTACCTATTCCTGTAAGAGTTTGTGTACAAAATACACCATGTTTGGCTTTGACATTTATTATAAACAGTCTGTAATACATCATAAAAATCACTCCATCTCAAATGAGTGCTACAGTTCGCTTTACAGAGGCTCGCTCCCTTTTTGCGGTCTTGCAGAAATTCAGAGACCCTGAAGCTTGCTGAAAATACCAAACAAAAACAGTATTTAGGTTTTTTTTAAAAGATAGTTCACAATACTATTATATTTCTTGATCTACGAAAGATCTGATAATGTTTTAAACTATTTGAAGACCGAAAGCATCTCATGGTATGATATTTTCTATATTCAAGTAAAGATTACATGGGTCGATCTATTATCAATTCCCTTGTGAGGGTGGGGGCTGTTATACACTCCCATTTGAGAAAAACACAGGTTCTGCAACAAGGCATGAAACTGAATCAGACAAGGTTCCCATTGGGTTACCCCATCATTATTTCAAACAGGCAAATTTTCATCTCAGTTGTAAGACCTTTGATACTTTTTAATACTTTTTGGTGTTGCAGCTGGCCTTTTTTCCAGTCATTGGAAGACCACAGTTGGAATGAATAAGTACAGATTTTAAATACATGAAATCAAAGTATGAAAGTGGCTTCTGGGCTTGATGATGATCACAAAATGAACCAAAAATTGTTCCTAAGTGTAATTAACCTATGTAACAAGCATGAATGAATCTGTTTCCCAACTGGGTCTCAGTTACTGAGGATCATATAGTACAGTCTATCTGTCCTGTAACTTCTGGATCATGCTTCTCATCATTGTTATTTTCACTGTAATTTCTAAATTTATTTTTTTAGTTCTAGGCATTTGGATTTCTTACACTGCCTAAGTATGAAGCATTAAACTGCTAGAACATTCACTCTGTTTATATAACTGATCTTCTGTGTTCCTCCTGATAATCAGAAAGTCAGCAAATACAAAGATGCTTTCTTTTAAATGAGAAAGTGAATATATTTACCTGTCTTCAACTGTCTTGTTGGAGGGGTAGAATACCTTGAATGAAAACCCACTTCTAGGAAATGAACCCTGTAAAGAAAAATGTATACACCACACTTGTGTAAGCAAAATACTGTACAAATAGTAAGAGACACACTTGAATGTGACTGCACCCCCTTCTTATTTTGGTAAAGCATAAGGAAATCTTACAGGATTTATGCAAAGGCAGTCAGTGTTGGTGACGGTGAATGGGTCGTATTTATCTGCAATGATGAGCACATCTGGCAGAGGATATACCCTCAGGGAGTAGTCATAAGCCCAGTACACTGGGCTAACGTACAGCGGAAGTGGTGTCAGATGTCCTTGTGATAATATAGTCTTTACAAACTGCAAGATAAACATAAATAGTTTGAACCATTCTCTACAAGTCAAATTCATTCCTGCCAATGCTAACGCCCTGTTAATAAAGAAGCTTTGAATGTGGAAATGTTTTTTGTGTATCTCACTCCCTCTGATTATTAACGATTTCTAGAGTAAAGCAGCAACTCCCCTACAACAGTCAGCTGCTGTTCTGTTTGTTGTGTTTTCTTTTTAATACACAAAGTCCTTTCTAAAGCATATCAGCCAATATTTGAAGATGTCAAAACTATTTCATCCATCAGACTCTCCAATAGAGAGAATCTGCTTACCTGTTCCTCCAGCCCAGGAAGTATAAACGCTACCATAACTTTCATTTTGTGCTTTTTTTTTTTTTCCTCATGGCTTCCCTCATAGTACCGGTTAACGACAAGACCCACACTTAAACACAGTCTCTTCCCTGAACTGAGGAAATAATTCAATTCTCAAATGATTTCAATTCCTTTGGCTGTTCTGGGAGTTGCCCTGGTCCAGACACCAGCTGCCCCCTGAAATTCCCCTTTTCATCTAGCAAATTCCAGCCAGGCTATTTTGGTTCCTGAAACTCTCTCCTCAAGCCCCTTGAAAGCTTTTATTATCTCTAATCAATCATGTAGCTGCCATTAGGCTCCATTTTTCCCAAAGTCACTACAGCAGCTTGGTGAAAGGGTCTGCTGTTGAAAGAAAATGATGTACCAAGCATAGGCCCAGTTATTCCACTAACACTGTACAAGGCCTAAAGTCACTATTAATTCAATCTAATGTTAGTAACAAAATCTCCCTCTCTCATTGATCTTTTTACACCGATGGCTGAATTGAAAAACTAATGACTGGCAGAAAAGGCAGAGAAAAACTGAAGTAGGCAAAAGCGACCCAATACACTTATCTGCAGAAAGCTTTGCAATACATAATTCTACATTTCTTTCACGATTCCTTCCTTTCCAAGCATGAGAAAGCCCTGTATGAGTACAGGGAAGTGATGGCTTGCAGCATACACATACATATGTATGCAAATGTGCACACTAAAAACAAGGTGCATCAGCGTCCCCAATAGCTTCCCTGTGTTCACAAAGAAACTGAGCACTTTCATGATGGAACAAAGGAAGAAAGAGCTAAAATAAGTTTCTGAATCAAACAAACAAACAAAAACCCTATAAAATAAATAGAAACAGACTCCATCCATCACTGCAATGAGCCAGTACTGCCTGGATCATTCTCATTCAATTATATCAGTAAGTCCCATCAACTCCTGCTGTGCATTCATTAACTAGAATCATAACTCAGAGTGCTGTGGCGATGTATCAAAAGCAGGATTAAGACGTCAAAGTGAGAAGGCAGAAGAAGCAGATGACCTTTTGGAAAAGTGACATGCTGCTTTACTGCAAATGTCACTGGTTAATTGATCACATCTTAAAAAAAAAAAGTAATTTGTATTAAACTTTGCCTTTAGGAATCAATGTTTCTTGGTACGACATTCATCGCTGGTGCACATACACCAAGAGTCAGCTGCTATGAAGTTCTGCATTCAAGGGCACCTGCAGTGGGACAGTCAGGATGACTCAATGCCATCAATCAGTATCACTGTTTCAGTTATCTTATTGTCAAGATGGAAATGAAGGTAATAATACTAAACGTATAGATCCTTCTTACAATCCCTCTTGGTTACTCTTGCAAGGCGTCGTGAGAATGTGGATCAGAGTGCCCTAAATGCAGACCTGCTGATTAAAAAAGAAGTCAAGGAGATCTTAGCAAGAAGTGCTGAACACAACTCACTCACATGGTTGGGAATGTCCATGTTGCTGCTAGGGAAGCGGACACAGTTTCTGCACATTTTGTTTACCAAATCTTCACGAAAGATAATTATTTCTTGGGTGCAATATTGAATCCTAAATGGAAAACATTAATAAAATTAAATTGAGATGAAACTAAAAGATAGGGAGCTGCATTATAAAGTTGATCTCCCTCTAATACAGCAAAATGAAAAAGCACATTTCAATTAAAATAATACTTTCCCATCTTCCCTTCATTCTCTCCAGATTCAGAAAAAACATGATGCTTCTGATACTCGCTATCAAACTTTTAGCACTACTTCCTTTCATCACTAATTTATTAATGTATTAATGTATTTAAAACTAGTTACAATTAATGCAAGTGAGGAATTCTAATAATTTGAAAAATTTAAGACAGATTTTTTCAAAATTTGTAATTTTTGAAAATTACATCTGCACATACATTAGTCATTCAGGAAAAAAAAAAAAACAAAACATGAAAAATGGCAGTAAGTTACAGTGTTACCTGCAAGGATTTGTGGTGAAAACTGAAAATGGCACCAGCTGTCTGAATTCCTGAGTAATATTTTCAGCCAGGGGAGGCCTAAAATAAATAGCAACAGATGTATCAACCAAGACTCTTACCTTCTTTAACTATTTAATTCAAAATTCCAAAATTTGAGAAAGGAAAGCAAACTGACCTCGGTAAA